GTTATAAAGTATATTTTAAAACTAAATTAATTTTAGAATTTAACTCTGGAAAAGTTTATTCTTATATTTTACAACAACAATTGAATTTCTTTGAGTATAATATGGCTATTATAAAAATACAAATGGCTATCAATCAATTAAAGATATTTGCTGATACTAATATTGTGACAGTACGTCAAAAGATGCTTAACGGATCTATTACTACTTATCTGATAATGAGGCTAGTCAAAGCTACTTCAAAACAAATAGTCAGTTCATCTTTGGATATGTTGGAAGATGACGATCCCAATGAACGAGTCAATATTACTTTTTTGTCAGGCAACTTTTATGTGCAACTTTTTTGTATAGCAGCCGTATATTTTTGTACCCCAAGAGCTGAATTCGGTTTTTGTTATAGTAAAGTTAAGAAAAAAAAAAGCATTTGATCCTGATCAAAGTTTAATTAGGCCTAAATGCTTTATTATAACAAAAGCTGAATTCAGCTCTTGTTGCTAGCATCGATTGGAAACGTCGATGACATGCTGCAACGTGGCGTGGCGAAATTGGCTTTATTAAATAAGTTATTACATGATTAGTATATTACATTTTTTTCCTGTAACTCTTAAGTCTCAATGTCAATAATCTTTTTTTAAATACTAGCATTAATTCTAAAATATAACTCAAGATGTTCATTACGATTAATGCCTACAATCTCAGAACTATGGTTTACAGAAAACATCTCCATCTTATCAAACCAAAAAATCACTTCCCATTCTTTTGTTTCAGTATTTTTAACACATAATTGAAAATCATTCAAATTATTTGATAGAATAAAACAAGGAATTCTATCGAATTTATGTGATTTATACATATCCTCGGTGCGTATATCCTTAATTCTATATTTTTTTGGAATATTAATAATTTGTCCCTTTATACTTAAAAAAATTACCAACATATTAGCGTCTCTCTTTTCAATTACAATATACTTGTTCTTATTTACAAGTTTAAAAATATGACGTCTAGCTTGTTGACTCTTGCTCATTGAAAAAGTTCCATTTTTAGACATTTCCTTATTAAATTTATAAAACTTTGATAAATAGGGGTGATATTGATATAAATGTTTTTTCATTTTAGATTTGGAATTTAATTCAACTTACTGATTTTGCAGTGTTTTTATATTTTTTTTTTAAAAATAGAAAATTATTTTTTGCTAGACAAAATCTTCTTAATTACATTAAAGAAAAAATATTAGCCTGATATAAAGAATACTAAATAAAAATTAACTCTTAAATAGAAATCAGTTCTTAATTATTATAGAGATATTTTCAAATTTGCTTATTAATTGAATTCTAATTTGTTAGTTTCGTTATTAATAAATGATATTCTTCATTACTTCACTAGGTAGGATCTGAATATTGATAGGCTATAACGTAATTACTAATCTGTCTTGATTAGATAGGATCTGAATATTAATAAGTCGCACCGCAAATATAAACGCGTATAAAAGTAATTAGTTCTCTGATGCATTTATTTGATATTTATTACTTATTTTGCTGCTTACCAAATTTAGATCTATTTAAATATTTTTGTTTCTAGATCATCGATCAACTAATATGCACATTTATATAAATGCGTGGTCATGGTGATCAAGCCCAACTTTACATGGTAATGTACATGGCCATATATATTCATACCTATATCGTTTGCTATCTAACCAAATCGCTGAATTTCCTAAATCAGTTTTGAATATTATTTAATCTATTAAAAGGAATCTATTCGATTACTTTTCTTAATGCAATTATCAACGTCTTTAGTTCCACTTATCCATCCTTATGTTATTTTCTGAGGATCACAAAGCAAGTGATGTGTTATATCGGTTGCAATTTATACATTTCTGTTTTCTAACATTTTTTAGAACCAAATTCATTAAATACTAACGTAAACTTATTTTTTACTGTATTATAAGTTAGTCCATATACTTTAAATTTACTATTCTTTAGCAGTACATAATCTATAAACTTATTAAATATTTTAAATATTAGTAAATATGAATTTAAGGTAATAAACAGTAGCACTATAATAATATTAATCTTTTAATTTACTTAGAATTTGTTACAATTTACTCCTTACCAATCTATTGTATATACAGATATGTAATCTAATATAAGCAATAATAAATATAAATATGAAATTTAATTATTAAAATAATTTGATTTAAGGAATTATATTAGATGTTGAAATGTTAAAATTTATTTAATTGATGAGTATGAAACAAATGGAAGGGAGACGAATGTTAAAATAAATCACGAATCATGTGAATTAGTAGGTTTGAGGTTTTTTATTTTACAACTAAAATATAGCAATAAATGAAAGTTGAAATAAGATAAGTATTAATTGTTTAATTTTTTTAAACATGCTAATAATTTGTTTACATTTACGAATTTTATAATGTTTTATTATTAATAGCAAAACTGACATGTGAGTACAAAGATTCAATGTATGATGATATGAAATTATTTAGAATAGACTTTACAATTTTGATGAAAAAGATTTTTAATTTTATTTATTTATTTAATGTTTTGAGTGCAATGAATTTTTATAAGACGAATGAAATAAATTTAAGCGAATTAATAATATGGGATGAGAAATAATTATTAATATACTAATAAAAAAGTATGTATTTGATTTAATTATATAATTTGATATTTTATTTAAATAAATATTTTTATATATATTCAATACAAGATGTTGGACTAAAAAACCTGTTAGGGAAAAACCTTACATTGTGTTTATAAAAATAATTACTTTTACATTTCTTCATCCTCCTCTTCTTCATGATACCTCGCATAATCTACTATTAATTCTTCACTTATACGTTGTCTTTTTTCTCTTTCTTCTTCTCGAATCCGTTCACGTTCTTCATTTCTTATCTGTTCCCTTTCTCTTTCACACCTTTCTCTTTCTACTCTAACTCATCTCTTTCTTTCTTCTAATACTCTATCTCTTTTTTTAAGATTATAGATATAAAATATATCCTTATTACAAATAATTATACAAAACTTATTAGCATTCATTTGTCTTCTACTAGTTTCATCAAAATGTAAGTCATATTTACGATCATGGTTTAAAAAAAATGCATTAGGATTTGCCGGCATAGGATTTAGGGAAGTATTATTTGTTTTATCATAAATAAATATTCCAAAAGGTATACTAGTTCCAGAACCTGACTTTGTAAAGAAAAGTTGTACAAAGCCAGGACTTAAAGTTTCAAATTTAGTTCGAAATAAAACACCTGAAAATTCTTGTTCATTGAGATTACAAATAGAGTCGCTCGTAAATTTAAGAAAACCATCAGGAGGAGTTAATGATATTATTGTTTCAAAATCATAAATTTGTGAATCTGAAGAATCTATATGTTCCATTTTTTATGTGTAAAATAATTTAAATACTAAACTTATTTATATTTATTTAAAAACCAAGTTTAGATAGATTAGCTAATATATCTTCCAAGATGGTGTTATTAATGTAAAAGGATATCAATGTTTTTACCAAACCATGTGCTTGCATGTGGATGTCCGTCACGGTGTGTTATCAATTTGGTAGAATGAATCTAGATTTGATGGCATGTAGCAGTTCACTTCTAATAAAAGGTATGATTATTACTGATTAATTTATATTATTTTATATATATGCAATATGCAACATCTAATCATAATATGAAGTTTTTGCGTTTTACCAAATGAGCAAGTTTATATACTATATTTCTAACAAAAGCTGAATTCAGCTTTTGTTATAATAAAGCATTTAGGTCTGATTAAACTTTGATCAGAATCAAATGCTTTTTTTTTCTTAACTTTACTATAACAAGAGCTAAATTCAGCTCTTGATAAAAGTTTAATATAGAGTATACATTATTTCAGGGCGCCAATGGGTATCATTTTCAAATTATATATACTATTTTAAGGGGTCCAATTTTCAAAATAATGCCTTATTCAATTTTCAGCTTAATTACGTGTATATTCGTTAAATCATCAACGTTTTTGTAATGAGAACTAATGACAAATTTTTTTATTTTTGTTTGTAGAAACGTAGTGATCAATTTGATAACAACAGTAAAATGAAACATGTTGTATGATTCTAATAAAGGTTTTAGGGATAGCATTTGAGAGTTCGTCTGTGAGATTTCAGATTAAACGGATGAAAACCGAATTACCCACTTTGGCCCATTCTGTGACCAAAAGCATTTTACTAATTGGGTAATGTCGAATTACACACTTGACTCAGGTTAATTTTATTATTGAATGTTTTATATATGAAAAAACTTTAATAAAGATTAGCAATTTAATTTACAAATTAATACTAAATATGAAATTTATTTAAAGTAGTGTTTTTTAAAATATCAATTTAAACTCGTAAATTATTCAAAATGTTTTTTTTTTAGTTGTAACTCAAAACTTATTTTTTTTAATAATTATATAAGTAATCGTATTTTTATTTATATAATTTTTAAATACTTACTTTTTTAAACCACAGGTAAAAATTATCTCAAAACAAAATACGATTAATATTACAAGAAAATTGCTTTTTGAAAACTGAAAAAGAGTACTTATAAAAAGAAAATGATGAATTAAAAAATCAAATTGAAAAATTAGAAAGTAAAAAATGAAGAAGAAAGGCAACAAGCTAGACAAGAAAGACTACAAGCTAGACAAGAAAGACTACAAGCTAGACAAGAAAGACTACAAGCTAGAGAAGAAAGACAAAATTTACAAAAAATTTTTTTATTTATAATTTTTATCCTATTTTTCTTTTTGCTTTCTTATTAATTTGGGTTTAATGAGTATAGTTACAATTTTTTAAATACTATGAAGATACATGACAAAAATTTGGAAATTTTATTTTATCATTATTCTTCAAGTAAATATTTTTAAAATTAAATAAAGTTTATTCTTCAATTTTATTAAACAAAAAGAAAGTTACGATTGCTAAATCTAACTTTAAGAGTAATATAAAAAAGTTGTTTTGTTTATTCTTAAAAATAAATAAAAAAATTTTGTCTAAAAGCAAATCAATATTAAGTTTAAATTTAATATTCACTTTTTTGTTGGGGCAACTTTTATGCGCAACTTTTTTGTACGGCAGCCGTGCACTTTTGCACCCCAAAAAAACCACCTACTAATTAAATCTCCTTAATTAAAAACCACCCACTAATTAAATTTCCTTAATTAAAAACCACCCACTAATTAAATCACTTTTTTTGGGGCACAAAATGAAAAAGGGTCCATTTTTTATTAAGAAAAAAACAAAAAGGACCCCATTCAGCTACTGTACAAAGTGATCAAAAACCACCCATGTATGGGGAGTTAGTAGGTATTATGTAATCATGGACATTCTCTGGAATATTGTTTATCCGAGGACCCATTCCGGCTTTTTCTAAGTTACCAAAATAACCGCGATGGACACCCACGTGCAAGCACGCAGTTATCTGTCTAGTATTTTGGAGAGAAGTGTATAACATTGGAAAAGCGTCGCTTCGCTTATTTAATTAGTGCTACGCTTCACCATGATAATAAAAACTTATAGTAGTTTTTATACCTTTAAAATAATTTAAATTCTAATTGCTTTTTTTTTTTTT